TTAAGATCTCTGGATAGGCTGACTAGACTCCAGTGGATGAACTTGCACCAAAGGGCATCTGGGTACAAATGCTTGAACACATAGGACTTAACATGTTAGGCAGAATGCATGAGGTCTGGGGGTGGAGGGAAAGTATAGGGACATGAATGGGGGAAGGGATCTAGATTTGATTAAGAACTGTTGTATAAAATGTACAAAAGCTCAATAAAAATATTTAAAAATTAAAAAAAGGATGTACGAGCGTAATAATTCATCTGTAAACCTAAAAATGTACAGCCAATTTTGAAAGAGATGTACCCTAGCTCAGAAAAATGTTATTGAATAGGTTAATGCTGTTGTAATGAAATGCTTCTTCTAATTAAAAAAAAAAAAAAAGGATGTGTGCTTCCATGACTGTTTCAGAATTTACTTTCTTTTAAGGCTGAATCACTTCCCATTGTATGGCACATATTTTTATCCATTCATCTGTTGGTGGACACCAGGGTTCTAACTTCAAATCTTGTGACTCATACTTCTATGGACAAATATATCTCTGAGCCCTCACCTAAATTTTTTTTTATTAATTTAATTTAATTTTACATGTGTGCGTGTTTTGCCTGCATATATGTAAGAGCACCCATGTAGGGCCTGTAGAGATCAGAAGAGGGTGATGGATCCCCTGGAACTGGAGCTACAGAAGAATGCTAGCTACCATGTGGGTGCTGGAACTGAACCCGGGTCCTCTGCAAGAACAGCCAGTGCTCTTAACTTCTGAGCTCTCTCTCCAGCCCCCTGAGACCTTATTTTTAATTTTAAGTGTATGCACCCAGGTGGAATTGTTGGATTATATGGTAATCAAGAAACCATCATTTACTTTTCCATAGTAGCTACATCAGTTTTATACTCCAGCCAGTGCTGCATAAGGGTTCTGGTTTTTCTGCATCATCACCCACACTTGTTGCTTTATTTATTTATTTATTTATTTATTTATTTATTTATTTATTTATTCATTCATTCATTCATTCATTCATTCATTCAATTTTTTAATCGTAGCTATCCTAATGGGTGTAAGGAAATGAAAAGAATTCTTTCTTTCTTGGAATTCAGTTGCCTTCCAAACTCTGTCAAGAATGAATTGACAAGAACAAAAGATTATTATTTTTTTTAGGCATGGTCTCATGTAGCCCAGGCTAGCTTAGAACTTGTTTGGCCGCCAACATTGCCTTGAACTCTACCACACCTGCCCCAGAATAGAAAGACTATTTACAGAGTCTGAGCTCTGTTTCACTGATATCGGTCCTGATGTCACTGTTACATCTTGCCAGTTGCTGTGAGTTAGTAGCAACTTCTGAAATAGAGAAATATGAATCTGTGAATTTTGTTCCGTGTCTTCCCCTCTCTCTTATAAGATTTTTCTGCTATCTAGAAGTTTTGCATTTCTGTATGTTTTAGGATTGGCCTTTGAACTTCTGCAGAGACTCTGTTGGGGATTTTGTTTGAATTGCATGAAATCTATAGATCAGCTTGGGTAGTATTACCATGCAGCAACATGAAGTTTCTGATATGTGAAGACAGCTTTCCATTTATTTAGACCTTCTGTAATTTCTTTCAACAATGTTTTGTGGTTCCCAGTATATAAACCTTGCATTTCCTTTCATAAATTAATTCCTAAGCACCTTTTTTTGATGCTATTGGAATTTTCTTAATTTTTGTTTGTTCCTTGCTAATATATAGAAATACAGCTCTTTTTTCATTTTTCTTGTATGCAGAAACCTTGCTGAAAGTGCTTATTAGTTCTTATAGTATTTTCATGAGTTCATTGATTGACTTTATGCAAACCTATATCATCTATGGATAGAGGTCTTTTAACTTTTTCTTTCTAACATAGATGCCCTTTATTCTTTTTTCTTGCCTTGGTTAGAGCCTTTAGTATAATACTGAATAGAATCAGCAAGTCTGGATATCTTGGAATTGGTGTTTTGGTGTTTACTGGTTTGGAAGTAGTTATTGCTGAGAACTTGAAAATTTAGATTTTTGTTTTCTATTGGAATTGATATTGATTGCAGTACTATGTATTGAATCTAGGGCTTGTGTATTGTAGGCAAGTGCTTTACCACTGAGCTGTATCTCCAGTCTTCCTGTTGGAATTTGCAATGTTAGTTTTTGAATGTCAGTGCCCAATACATTCTAGCATGTTTTCCCCCCCAAACTCCTGATGCCTATGCTCTATTAACTTAATGGGAAAAAATTCTAAAAGCAATTAAAATAATCAAACTGAAAGACTTCAAAATACATTTCTAAGGAACCATATGCATAAAAGTCATATGGCTTTTCTTAAAGAATCACACTTGCTGGGTGCATTGGAATAGAGTGAGCAATCAGGATGTGTGTATTATCTCTTCTAGTTTTTTTTGGCCATGGCTTGGATGAATGCCTTATCACTTCTGAAGTTTGTAATTCATAAATGTCCTGGATAGGAGGAAGTAATGATAGTAAAGGTTTGTGAAGAGGCAGTGGTTGTGCTACTTTTGGTAATTTAGTTCTACACCCAATTTCTCTAGGATTCATTTTCTTGCTTAAACTTATTCCCTATAGGAAGCTCTGGATGTAAATCTGCTGTGTTCTGTTCTTTATTGAGGATTTTCTCTGTACTTAGATATCTGTTCAACAAATAGGTCCTTTTTTCATATTTTGAACATTTCTGAAATATATTCTGTGTGAGCTGCTCTTTGCCCTGTAAGAGAATGAAGAAAGCATAAGAACACATTTGTTCTCTGAATGCTTGCAATATATTTAGGAAGATCAAGTGCCCATGCGTTATACTGAATATTGGTGGTTCTATGTATTATGTCATATTTCTCACACTAAACATAAGCTCCTTGAAGATGAATATATTTATATTATTGACAGTGTGCATCATAGTACCTCTATGTAGTACCTTCTATTGTGATTTTTAATACAGCCATAAACAGTATAAGACTATACTGTTCAAGAAATATTCAAGATATATTCAAAGAAATATTCAAGAAAGTGGCATAGCCAAATGATATTGTTGAATTTCCAAAGTAACACTGATGAATGTTTTCCAGGTTTATGAGGAGAGACATTGGCAAGAGATGGTAATGTAAGTGGGTTCATAGTAAGAATGAGCAAGGGGAAAGGCCATTGTAATTGAGGGTAATAGTATTTGGAGGACATCGGGGGTCTTATTGACTGGAGTAGAAGATTTGTATTGACTTGTAGCCTGAGAGAAGAGTGGTTGGAAGAGAGCGTCATATTTTAGAAGTCTTAAGTATGAGTTTGTAAGGCTTGCCTTTACTGTATTTAACAAGAAAGATCATTGAAAATTCCCAAGTTGCAAGTTTTGAGACAAAATAGTACTTTAAGAAGACTTACTGGTGATTGATTAGTAAATACTCTGGGCTGGAGGGCAGCTGAGTCTAGGCTACTTTTTAGTATTTTCATTTTTCAATGGCAGAATTCTTATATCTTTAATGCCTAGCATAGTACGTAGGGCAAAGTTCAATTTCAATTCTTTATTCAGTGAGAGTATGAGTTATGGATTGGGTGATCTGGGCCTGGGAAGAGCTGTCAGCAGTAGGGACATCTAAATTAAGGCCACAGTGGATGAAATATTGAGATGGCCTGTTTCTATGAAGAACAGGGGTTATTAGGAAATTCTAGTGCTGTCTTTGGACACAGATTGTATAGAGGAAGAGGGGTATGAGAGTAAGGACTGTCATGGTGACATTTTTCTGCTTGCAGAATCTGACATTGAAGCGCTAGTGCATGGAGATTTAAGAGCTCAATTTAGAACGGAAGCCTGAATGTTTAAATTTGGACATCATTATGTAGATTTTATCCTTTGAACAGTAAAAATGAATGGACTGACAACTATTGTGTGCATATGTGTAGAGTTGTGTATGTGTACAGAAATATCCCCACCATTAAATACTTACAGCCTAGTATATATTAGATTGTGGGCACACTAATATGCTTATTAGTATCAGAAGACTGATGAAGACTGGACCTTTGGGTGAGTAGAGGGGAAAAAGGAGTTGAAGAAGGAGACAGAAAAGAAAACAGGTAGAACTTACAATAATGGTTTGCTCTTGAAATTCTGACTCTTGTACTATGTTTAAGAATACCATATAACCACCACCAGCAGTACCACTTTTGTATCACTTGTTGAGTGTTTAGTATAGCCAGACTGACTCCTTTTCTTCTCACTGTAAATTATAATGTCAATATCACTGTATCTCTCATTGTCTGATGAAGAAACTGAAGGTTAAGTAGTCACAAACCTTCCCAAGATCTCAAGTTAATAATGATGGGGGAAGGGGCGCTGGAGAGATGACTCAGCAGTTAAGAGCACTGACTGCTCTTGCAGAGGACCAGGTTCAATTCCCGGCACCCATGTGGCGGCTAACAACTGTCCATAACTCCAGTTCCAGGGGAATCTGATGCCTTCAGCTGACCTCTGTGGGCATTGTACAACACAGGTGCATTTACATACATGCAGGCTATACACTCATACACATAAAATAAAAATAGTATATAAAATATTAAAAAAATAATAATGAAGGGACCTTGAAGGGCTTTTTTGACTTCAAAATATTCTTTCTATTGTACCAAAGGTACATATGCTTAGTTTTTGTAATGAAGGACTGTGTTTATACAGAATCGGTCTTCAACAAAGCCTTCTTAATTAGCAGGCAGTGATTGGACAGTTATGCTTCCTATAAAAACAATCAGCGTGTGCATTGCGTGGGGCTGCTTCTGCTTTCCTGCTGGGTTTTTATATTCACAGTGTACTGCACTTTTTGACTGCTTATTGTGGATGGTAATTTAAAAGAGGGTATCAGTTCTTTTTTTTCAAATAATTAATCATTCAGAAAGTACTTTTTAAATTTGTTTCTTAAACTAAATATACATTTCTTTAAGTTTTTCTGATGCATTCCTCAGAATGTTTATATATTTTCAGGGAAATAAGAAAAGCCTGTGATTTTCTTGTATTTCAGGGGATATCATTTTCAATGCTCAATACCCAGAGCTGCCCCCTGATTTTATCTTTGGAGAGGATGCTGAATTTCTGCCAGACCCCTCGACTCTGCATGTGAGTACTGCAGGCTCACTCTGATGGTCTTCATTGTTGAAAAGAAAATAAAATTGGGACTTGGTTATTGCTTTGTCAAATGTGAATTTTTCCCACTCCACCCCCTTCTTGGTCCCATGAAATAAATCCATTTCTTCATGTGACAAAATAGTTAGAGAGGTTTTCATTGTAGTTTTATTTTCAAACTATCTTGAATTAACTTAAGTCTATAGTATTGGTTGAAATAGTTTTCCTTAAATTTAAGGACACATGTTGAAAACATTTTCTTTGTTTTAACTTCATAGTTCATGTCTGCAGTTAGTTTTCTAGTGTTAGTAACACTTCATCACGGCACTGGTTGGAAGAGTGTTCCTTGACTTTTGCAGATGCCCTTAAGAAAAATAGAAGTGAAAGTGGCAAATTTGGACTTGCACCTAGATTATCTTAGTGTCCTTATGAGAAGAGGAAAGACTATATTAAGTGTTCTTTATTAAGAAAGACCAAACCCTTGTAATTGAAATGAAATGTCTCTGGAATTAAATCGGGAATACATACCACCAGGGAAAAGGGGTCATGGTACTTGTTAGAGCAAAGGCAGTTTATATAAATAGTTGGGTGCTCTGCAAGACTGATGCTAAAAAAACCAAAAAAACAAAAACAGCTCTAAATGTTTTAAGTGTTTTTTTGTTTCCTTTCCAAAATTCAAGTTTTCTGTAGTATCTACAATCTTCTAAGAGGTTTAAATAGTTATTAAAACTATTTTCTTAAAACTATTTTCTTAGTTTTATTTTCTCAAATTTGTTTTGCCTCATTAAAACTGTATAATTGAAAGTTTGATGACTTACTTTGAAAGTCCCCCACTCTTTCACTCCCATTTAAAGGGAAGAAATAAACTGAAATCAAAAAAATTTTGCTAAATTTTAGAAATTTACACAATCTTGACTTGATAGGCCTTAGAATATATGACAGAATGCATGAACTCTGGTGGGGGCCTATAGGGGACTGTGGACGGGCAAGGAGAGTCTAAATATGATTAAGATGTATGTATAAAATGCACAAAAATTCAATAAAAATATACAGTGAGAAAAAATTAGAACATAGCTGTAAAATACTCTTAACAAGGGTAGGATATATTTGCTGTAAGGTTTTTAATAATTGTATTTAAAAATCGCTACTATATTATTTGATATTTTAAAAGTTTGCTAGTTAAATGTGGGCTGTTTAGAAGCTATGAGTTTGGTATTTACCTTATTTTAAAATCGAGACGCTCACCTGCAGTAGATGAGGCAGAGGCATTACTATAGACTCTTCTTGTCTTAAACCTGCCCAGTGGAGGGAGGCAGCTACTAGATGCCAGAGAGACATTATAGCTTAAGTGCCCAGGAATTTAAAGAAGGTAGTCAAGAGAAAGTTTTGTGGTAGAGGTAAGTTTGTTCTCATATTTCAAGAATGAAAAAATGGAAAGTGGAGGAGAGTATTCCAGGTAAGGGAGTGACTGAAGCAGACTTGAAGAAGCTGTGATTTGTTTGATATGTTGCCAAAAGAGAAACAGATTTGCTGAGTCTAAGTTCACATAAGAAAGGACTGCAAACGGTTAGGTTCATTAGGTACATTGAACACTGGACTAAGAGCCATTGAAAAAAATGACAGAATGAAAATAACCTGATGGGAATGTGTTTAATATAATGGATTAAAGAGAAATTGAAGTCCAGAACTGAAGATTGTTGAACACATCCAGGATAGAGAGGAGTCTGGATGATGTGAGAGGGAACGCCATGATGGAAAGTCTAAGAAAGTGTGTTTACAGCCTCTGAGTTTAGTATTGCTGTACAGTTTGCAGTGCATATTTTCAGCATTGGCAAGTCTTGTAAGTGTAGAACTTAAGTGCTAGAACAGCCCTGAACATTCATCTTACTCCACTCTTCTATTTTAGTACTCAAGAAAATGTAGATTTCTCCAATTCTGTATCAGAGCTGATACTCTAATTCCATTTCTCTGATGTTTCATCCCTGAATAAAGTTATCATAAATACTTTTGAGAAATAAGCTGAAAAAGAACAGAGAAAAAAATAAGTCAGTGTTCTGTATGTAACAGGAAGATTGCAAATGTAGGGGCGTACATTCTCCTTAGTGGTAAGGGCTCAGGAAGGCTTACAGAAGCCTTCTTCATGGACCAATGTGCTGGTAAAGCCCAGCTAAGCAATCAGAGCATACTCCTGGAGATGTACACTTAATGTCTGTCTTTTTGAAACACTAGGACAGGGTAAACTGTAAGGCCTGGTCCCCAGCAGCCATTTCCCTAAGCACAGCTTGCCTCTGAGGACTTGTTGCTCAGTGTCAGCAGGTTAGAGTTTAGTTGTGAGTTCAATTCAGACTTTTCCTCTCTTTTCTTGAAGTATTCAGAGCACTAATAACCTGACCAGTCTACAGGCTGAATGAGAAGAAATTGCATTTTGTTACCCATGGAATGGGAAATAAACTGAATGCCTAGACTAGTCAAACTTTTCTGCTAGTGGTACCAATTATAGAAGGAGATCATATGCACACTTAGAATCTGGGAGCATAGTCCGAAGTACTTCCTGTGGCAAATAGGAAATAAATTTCTTTTAAGTTTTTGGGCTTTATCTTAAAAATTCATAAACTTTTTCCATTGGTTCTATAGTATACCTATATTTTAATATAAAATATACTAAATTAAAATATTTAAGGAAAAATGAACTTTTCAATATGGTCCAGTTTGAGGAACATAGGTTTAGAGAAATTAATTAGGTTTACCTAAACCTGCTCTTCTCCAAAAAAGGAAGTAGCATGTGTAAGTTTAGGAGAAGTATGTGAAGGCTTTGGACCATTGGAAGCCTCCTTTTTCTTTTTTCTATTAAATAATTTCATTGTATCGTCCCATAATTTAAAAAATATTTTAAAAGGATTTATTTTATTTTTTGTAATTTTTTAATTGAATTTTTGTGTACTTCATAGAGAACATCTAAATCAGTCTTAATCATCTTTGTACCCCCTTCCCATTGGCACCCTCCCATAGCCTCCCACCCCACTGGAATTCATACATTCTGTCCTTTGTGTTAAGACCTGTCATGTGTGTGTGTGCATGCCTCTGTGCATGGTAGAGATGAGTGGTTGACTTAGGTATTGTCTCCTGTCACTCTCTACCTTACTTTTTGAGACAGGATTTCTCATATAGAACCTAGAGCACAGCATTTGGGCTAGACTGACCAACCGCCCAGACCCTGGGATCCACCTGTCTCCACCAGTGCTTGAATTCCAGGCAGTCTCTGCCAGACCTGGCCTTTAGGTGGGTGCTGGGGATCTGAATTCAGATCCTCATGTTTGAGTGGTAAGCACTTTACCCTGACAGCCATTTCTGTAGCCTGTAGTTAGTGTCCTTTAAAGGAAAGTTTTAAATTTTGATGAAGGCCAATTTATCTATTTTTTCTTTTGTTGCCTGTTCTTTTGATTTTGTAACCAAGAAACCATTGCCTAATCTAAGATTATAAAGATTTAATATTACATTTTCCTTGAATAGTTTTACTACTTTTGCTGTCTTATTTGGGTCCTTGATCCGTTTTGAGTTCTTTTTTGTAAATGGCGTGAGGTTGATGCCCAACTTCATTTTGGGAGTGAATATTCAGATGTACAGGCACAATTTATTAGTAAGGATATTTCTCTCTCATTGAATTTTATTGACATTTTTGTTATACCTCAGTTGATTTTAGATAAGAAGGAAATTTGGGGGTTCTTAGTTTGATTTCATTGATCTATATGTGTATATTTAGGTTAGTACCATATTTTAATTGCTGTGATTCTGTGATCAGTCTCGAATTTGGGTAGTGTAACTGTTCCATCATTGTTCTTTGCAAGGTTGCCTTGAGTGTTATAGGTGCCTTTTTAGGATCAGCCTGTGAATGTCTGCATAGAATCCAGCTGGGGTTTTGATAGAGTATTGAATCTTTGGTTAATCTAGAGATTAATTCCATCCTAATGGTTTCAATTTTTTTGCAATCAGGAGCAAGATAAATCCTTTCAACAATGTTTTGTAATGTTCAGAATTACAGTATATTCTTGTGTGACATTTCTTCTTCAGTATGTTATTCTTTTTGGTGCTATTACAAATGGAATTCTTTTCATTTAGTTTCATTGCAGTATAGAAACACAGTGGATTTTTTTTAATGTTGCTCAAGCAGTCTTTCAACCTTATAGTTCAGACTTTTTTTTTTTTTTTTTGGTCTTTTTGAAACCCAGCTGTAGCCCCAGCTGGCCTGGAACTCACTATGTAGACCAGGCTGGCCTCGAACTCACAGAGATCCACCTGCCTCTGCCTCCCAAGTGCTGGGACTACAGGCGTGTGCCACCACGCCCGGCTATAGTTCAGACTTTTAATGCAGAATTTCTTTTCTACTGAACAAAAAATCTTTTTACACATTTTAATTTTTTCTGCCCTTTTATATTTTATTATTCTTTTTAATGTGTGTGAGTGTATTGTCTGCATGCTTGTAAGTGCACCCATGTCATGCAATGCCTACAGAAGTCAGAAAAAGGTGTTGGATCCCCTGGAACTGAAGTTACAGATGGTTGTTAGCCTCCATGTGGGTGCTAGGAATTGAACCTGGGTCCTCTGCAAGAGCAGTCAGTGCTCTTAACCACTGAGCCATCTCTCCAGCCCTTTATTCTGTCCTTTAGAGGCAGATCAATATGCTAGTGGAGCTGGATCACTACATATTTTGAAGCTAAGTTGTGATTATGAAATGGTGACATTGCTTTTCCTTTCAGTTTATAACTCAGCTTAAAGTATTTCCCATCATATAAATGGAGACAGTGTTGTAGTAAATTCAAGAATATATTGAAAAGTTGCATTTAGAGTTAATACTCATAAATTCTAGCAGAATTGCCTCATGCTTTATATCGTATAAGAAGATCATTCATTGATCAAACCATTTAATTAACAGTTGAAAATTATAACATATAGCGCCAGGTGATGGATGTAAGACGTGAGCACTAGGTGTGTTCCCT